AACTGGGAATTGAACTCAGGACCTTGCACTTGCCAGGGAGGCACTTTGCCACTGAGCTATATCACCAGCCCTGAGTTTTGCAGTCTTCAGTCTTATATATTTAGTGCATTTTGAGTTGACTTTTGTATGTGGTACAATCTAAGAGCCCAGCTTCATTCTTTTAAATATACAAATCCTGTTTTTCCAAAACCATTTGCTGAGTAGACTATCATTTTCTCCATTGTGTGGTCTTGGCACCCTTGTTGAAGATCAGCTGATTATATATGTGAAGGGTTTTTTTTGTATGTGAATATTTATTTCTGGGCTCTATTTTTATTCTAGTGGGCTTTATGGCAGTACCAAGCTGTTTTGATCAGTTTATTTTGGTAATATGTTTTGATATCAAAAGGTGTACGGTTTCCATCTTTTTCTTTAAGATTGTTTTGGCTATTCATTGAAGTTCCATGTGAATTTTTTTACATTTCGACAAAAAGAGCCATTTGGGATTCTGATAAGGATTGTCCTGAATCTGCAGATTATTTTGGGTAGTATGAACATTTTAACACTATTAAGTCTTCTAATCCATGAACACAAGAAATCTTTCCATTTACTTTTGCTTTCTCAATCTCCTTCAGCATTATTTTATAGTTTTCAGTGTATAAGTCTTTCATGCTCTCATTTAAGTTTATTACTAAGTATTTTATTCTATTTGACAATGCTACTGTAAATCGGATTATTTTCTCTATGTGTGCCTGTCTTGAGGATTGAACCTCAAGCCTGCTAAGCATACATTCACCACTTGAACTATACTCACAGTTGAGACTGTTTTCTTAACTTTCTCCTCAGATTGTTCATTACTACAGTACAGAAATGCAACTGATTTTTGAGTGCTGCTATCATATTCTACTTGTATGAATGCATTTATTGGTTCTAAAAATTTTTGTGGGGTCTTTAGGGTTTCTCCAGATAAAATAATTCCATTGTGAACAGAGATCATTTTACTTTTTCTTTCTCAATTTGGATGTCTTTTACTTATTATTCTTGCCTAATTGCTCTGGCTATGCCTTCCAGTACTTTGTTGAATGAAAGTGGGAATTTTTGCCTTGTTTATGACCTTAGACAAAAAGCTTTCAGATTTTCATCACTGAATGTGATGGTAGGTTGGGCTTTTCCCATATGGCCTTTATTATGTAGGTATACTAGTTTATGGGGTGTTTTTATAATGAAAGAGTATTGATTTTTGTTAACTGCCTTTTCTGCATCAAATGAAAAAATAATGTGGTTTTTGTTCTTTATTAATGTGGTATTTTGATTAATTTTGTACGCTGAATCATCTTTGCATTTGAGGAATAAATTCTACTTGGTCATGGTTATGGTTTTTGTTATGGTTGATATATTGTGTCAACTTGGGGAGTCTAGAGGTTTGGCTAAGTGACTCAGCAGGAAGCCAGGGTGCTTACTTTGTATACATCCTGAGCCTGTGGAAGAGGAGGGC